AGTGGACACAGTAGTTTGTTTTTCTGGTTTTTACCCATTCATGGTCATTGTCTTGGGTTCCACATAATTCCTGAAAGCGAAGGCAGAAAAGATCCGTTTGCTTCCATGTTCAGGTACCTGCCTGAACCACCGACACATGTACTTTATGACTTTGCTTGTTCACTTTCTGAATACTGCTTGAATAGAGAACCTTCATTCTTTAAAGACACTTGATTCTTCCATGATTATTTCCATGGTTGTACGCATGTGTGTGGCGACGCTTTCAAGTCTTCAGTGTTTGAAAATGTGGGTGTCAACACGGAAATCTGTGAGCAGTTCAATTCGTTCCTTACAAAATATCAAAGCAACTTCAACTCATTTGAGCCAGAGCAAGTTTTGTTTTCTTCTCCTTCTGGAGCAATCAAAATGGAATTAGAGAAAAACCGAAATGTTTTATCAACGATTGCAAGTTGCTTTAGATGGTTCAAAGTAAAATGTGATGAATAGTACTCACTAACATCAATGTTGCATGATACCGGTGATGTAGGACTGGTTTTAGGACTGTATATTAACGTCGTTCAAGCCCAACTAGGTTACTCAGTGCATGAGAGGTTTTTCTAGGTACTCAGATGTTTCAAATCAAACTGACACTTTGTTCTGTAATACTCTGCTGTAGATGAATGATATTTTTCCAGTTATATCTATGTTGTCATACTGCTTTCCTCAAACTTTTTACATTTATGGTTTATTTGGTTGTAGTTTGAACAGTGAAATGAGTCATACATAGATTTGTTTATTTGCTTTAATGTTAGTCTTAATAAAAAGATAAAACTTACAAAATGTGTTTATTTATTTTGTTGAGAACACATATTACCTATCTGTGTAACAAAAGTATTCATTCAACAATAATACCACCAGTCATATACTAAAGAATCTTGCAACAATACAGCACACAAACAACTTCAAACAAGTAAAAAGTAATTGAGTTATTACATGATACTCAATGAATATATTAAAAAATGCTTCTTAACAAAGCTAATTATAGGCACATGCGCGTATGGTGTTATGTCATACATGATATTAACCCCATTTGAATACTGTAGACGTTATGGTTCGCCAACATACCCGCATCAGGAAGAGCTAGGGTTAGGTTATATATGTCAAGTCTGATGCCGCCACAGATATGTAAACGCCCTATTTGGGTTAAGGTTTCTACCCAATATATGCCTGACAGTGATTTACAACTGGGTTATTCCTAAATACAGACGCTGATGTTCTCGTATCTCAACATAAACATGAATCATGAGGTGCTAGGGTGAGGTTTTCTACCCAATATATGTCCGGCACTGATGTAAAACTGGATTATTCTTGAATCAGGCGCAGATGTTTTCTTATCTCAACAGAAACATGAATGGTAAGGTGCTAGGGTTAGGGTTTCTACCCATTATGTGTCCGACAGTGATGTAAAAGTGGGTTATTCCTGATACAGACGATGATGTTATGAAATCTCAACAGAAACATAAATGATAAGGTGCTAGGGTAAAGGTTTCTACACAATATATGTCCGACAGTGATGTAAAACTCGATTATCCTTGAATCAGACGCAGATGTCACGAAATTTCAACAGAAACATGAATGATAAGGTGCTAGGGTTAGGGTTTCTACCCAATATATGTCCGGCACTGATGTAAAACTGGATTATTCTTGAATCAGACGCAGATGTCACGAAATCTCAACAGAAACATAAATGATAAGGTGCTAGGGTTAGGGTTTCTACTCAATATATGTCCGACAGTGATGTAAAAGTGGATTATTCTTGAATCAGGCGCAGATGTTTTCGTATCTCAACAGAAACACGAATTATAAGGTGCTAGGGTTAGGGTTTCTACTCAATATATGTCCGACAGTGATGTAAAAGTGGGTTATTCCTGATACAGACGCACATGTTATGAAATCTCAACAGAAACATGAATGGTAAGGTTCTAGGGTTAGGGTTTCTACCCAGTATATGCCCGACAGTGATGTAAAAGTGGGTTATTCCTGATACAGACGCTGATGTTATGAAATCTCAACAGAAACATAAATGATAAGGTGCTAGGGTTAAGGTTTCTACACAATATATGTCCGACAGTGATATAAAACTGGATTATCCTTGAATCAGGCGCAGATGTCACGAAATCTCAACAGAAACATGAATGATAAGGTTCTAGGGTTAAGGTTGCTACTCAATATATGTCCGACAGTGATGTAAAACTGGGTTATTCACGATACAGACGCTGCTATCACGAAATCTCAACATAAACACGAATGATAAGGTGCTAGGGTTAGGGTATCTACCAAATATATGTCCGACAGTGATGTAAAACTGGGTTTTTCCCGATACAGACGCTGCTATCACGAAATCTCAACAGAAACATGAATGATAAGGTGCTTGGGTTAGGGTTTCTACACATTATATGTCCGATAGTGATGTAAAAGTGGGTTATTCCTGATACAGACGCTGATGTTATGAAATCTCAGCAGAAACATAAATGATAAGGTGCTAGGGTTAAGGTTTCTACACAATATATGTCCGACAGTGATGTAAAACTGGATTATCCTTGAATCAGGCGCAGATGTCACGAAATCTTAACAGAAACATAAATGATAAGGTTCTAGGGTTAGGGTTTCTACTCAATATATGTCCGACAGTGATGTAAAACTGGATTATTCTTGAACCAGGCGCAGATGTTTTCGTATCTCAACAGAAACATGAATGATCAGGTGCTAGGGTTAGGGTTTCTACTCAGTATATGCCCGACAGTGATGTAAAACTAGATTATCCTTGAATCAGACGCAGATGTCACGAAATCTCAACAGAAACATGAATGATAAGGTGCTAGGGTTAGGGTCTCTACCCATTATATGTCCGACAGTGATGTAAAAGTGGGTTATTCCTGATACAGACGCTGATGTTATGAAATCTCAACAGAAACATAAATGATAAGGTGCTAGGGTTAAGGTTTCTACACAATATATGTCCGACAGTGATGTAAAACTGGATTATCCTTGAATCAGGCGCAGATGTCACGAAATCTCAACAGAAACATGAATGATAAGGTTCTAGGGTTAGGGTTTCTACTCAATATATGTCCGACAGTGATGTAAAACTGGATTATTCTTGAACCAGGCGCAGATGTTTTCGTATCTCAACAGAAACATGAATCATGAGGTGCTAGGGTTAGGGTTTCTACTCAGTATATGCCCGACAGTGATGTAAAACTGGATTATCCTTGAATCAGACGCAGATGTCACGAAATCTCAACAGAAACATGAATGATAAGCTTCTAGGGTTAGGGTTTCTACTCAATATATGTCCGACAGTGATGTAAAAGTGGATTATTCTTGAACCAGGCGCAGATGTTTTCGTATCTCAACAGAAACATGAATGATCAGGTGCTAGGGTTAGGGTTTCTACTCAATATATGTCCGACAGTGATGTAAAACTGGATTATTCTTGAACCAGGCGCAGATGTTTTCGTATCTCAGCAGAAACATGAATGATCAGGTGCTAGGGTTAGGGTTTCTACTCAATACATGTCCGACAGTGATGTAAAAGTGGATTATTCTTGAACCAGGCGCAGATGTTTTCGTATCTCAACAGAAACATGAATGATCAGGTGCTAGGGTTAAGGTTTCTACACAATATATGCCCGACAGTGATGTAAAACTGGATTATCCTTGAATCAGACGCAGATGTCACGAAATCTTAACAGAAACATAAATGATAAGGTGCTAGGATTAGGGTTTCTACTCAATATATGTCCGACAGTGATGTAAAACTGGATTATTCTTGAATCAGGCGCAGATGTTTTCGTATCTCAACAGAAACATGAATGGTAAGGTGCTAGGGTTAGGGTTTCTACCCATTATATGTCCGACAGTGATGTAAAAGTGAGTTATTCCTGATACAGACGATGATGTTATGAAATCTCAACAGAAACATGAATGATAAGGTGCTAGGGTTAGGGCTTCTACTCAATATATGTCCGACAGTGATGTAAAAGTGGGTTATTCCTGATACAGACGCACATGTTATGAAATCTCAACAGAAACATGAATGGTAAGGTGCTAGGGTTAGGGTTTCTACCCATTATATGTCCGACAGTGATGTAAAAGTGGGTTATTCCCGATACAGACGCTGATGTTATGAAATCTCAACAGAAACATAAATGATAAGGTGCTAGGGTTAAGGTTTCTACACAATATATGTCCGACAGTGATGTAAAACTGGATTATCCTTGAATCAGGCGCAGATGTACCAAAATCTCAACAGAAACATGAATCATGAGGTGCTAGGGTTAGGGTTTCTACCAGATGCATGTCCGACAGTGATGTAAAACTGGATTTTTCTGGAATCAGACACAGCTGTTGCGGTATCTCAAAAGAACCCTCAGAAGAATCGTAAGGTTCTAAGGTTAGTGTTCCTTCCCAATATATGTCTAATTGTGATATAAAACTGGGTCATTCCTGATACAGACGCAGGTGTTACTGTATCTCAAGGTGCTAGGGTTACCCAATACATGCTGAAAAGTGACAAGAAACTGCTTTCTTAGCCACACAGACCCTACTTATTAATTTCTGTCTTTATGGTACTGCAATTATGCCAAAGTAGAGTGAGAGAAACTTGGGTGCACAGGTGGCCCACTTGTCATGGTTGATGGAACTTGATGTGCAGTTAGTGCCAGGATGTCCTGGTCATGGGTTGAAATCCAGAATACGACCCTTCGTATCAGCACCACAATACCTCATGTGGTTGCATAAATTTGTGTCTCCCTTACAAATCACACTGCCACATGTCCATCTGTTCAGCTTTAGGTCACTATTCTCCAAACCAGTGATCAGAATGGATCCTCACATAACCAATCGACACAACTCTGCAGTGTTGAAGCATTTTAGACCATTAGGCCAACTTTTCTCTCAAACAGCCAAACAGCATAAAACATCCACACTATGGTGACGGAAACACAACTAGTATCACATGTATTTCAATACTTTATTCTATTGCAGAAATCCATTTTTTAATACTATATATAAATCAGTAGTGAAAACAAAAAACTTCTGAATAACATATTTGTGAAACTTAAAGATGGTGTCAGTCATCTTCAACTTGCTGAATATGAAAATTATTAACATTTGGTCATGACAATATTAGTGCTGGAATCAAGAGCGCAGCGTCCAGTTCATGACTTCATTAAAGCGGATATCTGAAACCACAAAAAAAAAAAACTGAACGAGTTAAATGTATAATTTAAACATACAGATTATTATTTTATTCTTCTTATCTATAAGGCTACAATATTTGCCAAAGATAGGTGAATGAATTTGGTAATGATAGCCCATAGGCTGGTTAAAAATAGTGCTACAACAGTGTAGCTCACCTGGACATGTAGTCAACACTTTATAATGACAAAAGAGACAACCACTATACAGAGACTATCATTGCTACCCTGCATATATATATTTTTTATATTTTCCATATAAATACTGAGGACTAAAAACACTAAAATATCTGAACAAATCATGCTGTCATCTTGAGGAGAAACACACACGGCACAAATTCAGCTCCCTCAGTCTGGCAAATTTAGAGAAGTTTACATTGCCAAATATGCATTTTGATAGAATTTAAAAGCATGGTCAAAGCAAGGTCAAAATTATGAATTATGAAAAACCAGAAATATTTTTTGAATCCCATAACATACACAAATATGCATTTTGATAGAATTTAAAAGCATGGTTAAAGCAAGGTCAAAATTATGAATTATGAAAAATCAGAAATATTTTTTTACTCCCAAATTTCATTAGAACTTGTACAAAACTGACTGAATAATGGCAATAAGAAGTTTCAGCTACCAGTGTAGTTTAAGTGCAAAGATCATACTGGAATTTGGATTTGAACGTCTTGAACAAATTCTGATGTGATCAACAAATGCGAAGTTTCAGCTTCAGTGGTCCAGTAGTTTCTGAGGAGGTGCTCACAACAGATAACTCATCATTGTAGATTGACATGCAGACGATATCTCGAACCTGGACATTAAAATACTGTAAAATTTGCATTTAATCTCAAACCTCAAATGAAATATTTCAAATATTTTACATTCACACATTTCTCTGCCTATTGATACAACAATTAGTGAAAGCACACTTTCAAGATTTATTATCTGGCATTATGCTTAGCAACTGCTACCCTTTTGATCATTCCAACCCGATAAGTACATAGAAAGTTGCACGATCAAAAACATAAGTACAAATATTTGAAGGCAAGTGTTTTAAGAAGCACATAGTATTTCAAATAAAAATATGACTAAACTTAATCAAATAGATTGCAAACATATGTCCAAAGTCTAGATGTATACAATGAACACTCTTCATGACCATCTGTACATCCTTACAACAGGACTAACTTGCATAAATTGCATATACCAGAATCATGGAAAATAACAATCAAGAAAACTAGAAAATTATTTTACAGAATTTGTATATAAACAGTTGCTTAAGTGATCTGACTAAGCCTGTAAAAGGCGCTAGAATCTTTTATGATAAATTAATATCAAATGAAAATAATCTTAAAGTTTGTAATAAATGGCAACCAATTTTTCACTGTGATTTTAATTGGAAAACGATATTTACTGTTTATAGATATAAACTGAAGGATGTAAAACTTTTAGATTTTCAATACAGATTTCTACATGGAATTATCTACACAAATAAGGAACTATTAACAATGAATCTTGTAGACAACTGTGTTTGTAACTTTTGTAATGCTGTCAATGAGGACGTCAGCCATGTCTTTTGGGAATGTAATGAAACTAAACAATTTTGGAATGATCTCGAACTTTGCCTTAACAATTATCTTCCACAAAAAATTAAATTGACAAAATATCTTATTTGGTTTGGTTCTAACTACTCTAATACTTTATTCAATCATATAGTTTTATTGGGAAAAAGGCATATTCATGTAAGTGGAATTAAAGGAACCAAATCGAAATTAGATATACTTTTAAAATTGTTTAAAAACATATATTCAATCGAGAAATTTATTGCTATAAAAAAGGATGACAAAAGTAACTTTAACAAAAATGGTTACCTTTATTCTCAGCATTTGATTCATAGCTCTCTGTTGATACATGATATGTTTGAGTCTGACTGTGTGTTGCAACCATTTTGGTTTGAAATAGGACAATGTTTGTTTTCAACCCTTTTATATTCTAAAGAGTGTATTGTGCCATTCTATGCAAACCGAAATATGTTTTTGACGGAATACTGTATTAATCTACAACTCTGGGAACAATAAAAACATTTATAAAAATAAAAAACTTGCATAAATTCAGAGCAGAATTGTTGATATGCTTAAAAATGTGTTGTTGTTTGTTTGTTTTTTTTGGGGGGGGGGAAGGAAAGGAGAAGTATTTAAATTTATGTGACCCATATATTTTACCTGAAGTTTAACCCAATCTGTGGTATCATGAAGGGTGTTTTAGCAAGGGATGACTGTATTTATGTTTATCTTCCAACATTACAAAAAGAACCAACATCAGATATTTCAAATCCTTATCTTGAACAAATATACAGTTTGGAATCCCAATAAAATTCACATTTCTAGAACTGATTTGCCGCTCTGATAAATGGTACTTATGTGGCTGTTTTCTCAAAGTCATTTTTATTATAACACTTAGATAAATTCATAACATTTAATACACTCCTGTGTCACCATTTACAGTGTTGATATTTTGTCCAATTCATTCATCACTCCAATTTACCGGTATATGCATAAAACCAAAAGGACTAAACGAAAATGCATTAAATGTAGATAAGGGGGCACATGTGAAGAACAAAAGTAACAGCAGTTACAAAAATCATACTATGCCCCAAAGTACAATGTAATATAATTTAGCATCATTGACAAATTCAATATGGTTGACATGGCGGCCATATTTAGAATCTGATCCGATTTCAGTGATTGTCTTAGTTTTATTAAACACAGCAGTCCGCCATATATATTTTATCAGCTATATGAAGATAACCTGGAAATAATTCAGTCTGGCCTGGAAAAACCAGTCATATTATCACTGTCATCTTGTTACAATAACAAGCAACTAACCAAGTCACCGAACCTGACCACCCAATCACTTAACTCGTCCCTTATAACAAGGATAGGTTGCAGTGGACCTATTCTAACACAGAATCACCAAGGTGGACTGATTTTTGTGAACATTAATCTAGAGACACCACGGCTGGGATTGTCAGAAAAGTAAAAGTTTTTAACAACTGAAGGTTAAAACAAACAAACATTAGCTGACTTCAGCGCTTGGTACCTGAACATAACACATCTACAGACTGAATTTGGTTAAAATATATCAACAAAAGTGTGTTGGTATATTTGTAGCCATGTTATTTTCGACCACCTTAAAAGAAGATAAATTTGAAAGTGACCATTGAACATGACATGTCTTTACACACATGACCATTCTATTTTATGTTGTAATTTACATTTCATGTCCATTATTCATGTGTTCAATAATTTTCAGATGACTTTGGACCCCACAACCCCTCAATACCTGAAAAGTTCATGGATATCAAACCTGAACTGTGTTCAGATAACAGCAGTTATGTGGGTGATTTCTGACCCGCTGACTTTTCCACATAATTTTTTTAACCAGATGTTATTCTTCCACCATTAATTGATTTGCAGATTTCCATGTCAGACAAAGATCAAGCGGTGTCATAGGATTCCTTTTCACTTGATCAGGAGGGATGCTATTGTGTGCCAACTGAAATAAAAAATATGACAAAAATAACAATGATAATCAATGGTCTATAATTCAGGGTCTTACCACCTGCACAAGGCGCAACGAAGTGAACTAAGCAGGTTGCACCACCAAAATATTGGCTGCACTAGTTAAGCAAAAATTGAAACACTTTATTTTCAGTTATTTTGAATATTAAATAAATTCAAAGAAAAAAAACCCCTTGAGAATGTGCTCCAGAATTTATTTTGTGTGAATCTGTACATGCCTTTTCATATCATGATATCAAGTAAACAACCTTAAACAGAAGTCTCAAAGTGTCTGTTGTGATTGTAACCTCATGAGTGACTGTTCTAGTGGTAATTGTGAAGAGTCCTGCAAGTTCAATGCATTCAGACCACCTGTGTATTTCACTACTTTCATGAACTTTTGTTTCCTGGATTCGAAAAGACTTGCAGCCAGTTCTAAAAGAATTCAGTTTTCCACTTATGGCTGGAAATGTTACCTGCACTGGGTGCGACCTAACCTCACCTAAAAGTTACCGACACCTGGGCCTAGTTGCACAGAACAATCTTAGTTACATCGATCTTAGGCGGCTACAATCAATTTTACAATCACCATACAATTGTCCTATGCCACTTTCACAAACCCATCTTAGCACGATTGTAAGACGGCTTATCTAAGATTGAAATCTTCAACAGTGGAAGTACGAATATCTTAAACTCGACTCCTGTCTACAGTTGTCTGCAAACGCGCATAGCTCGCTGCGTATACAATAAGTGGAACTGTTCACGACACACAACACATACCTCCCCCCATCACACCTTGCACTGTTTCAAGAAAGGTGCCAATTATTTGAAGGAAACGATTACTATAATGATGGCATTAATTTTTGTCAGCATTAATACTGTCATGATTTAGGAATTGTTTTCTGTTGCAACTAGAGAAATACCTACTCATGATTTTTTATCAAAATTATTGAAATACGAATAAATATGTTATTTAGTGACACAATCATTATGAAAATTAAAAGAAATAATACTAAAAATATTTCCTAATAACATAACACAGGTGAGCTTTTTGTAAAATCCGAAATATATCCTTCATGCTTTCATTTCGCTGCTATAACAAAGGATGTTATGACTACCTTTTCAAAACACAGAAACACACAGGTTTTCAAGAATGAATGGATGAGAAATAATGATAATGAATAATGTTTCGAGAAAGTAGTTGTCTAATATATATTCACTTGGTATTAATTATATTGATAATTATTTTCCAAAGGTGTGAATTTTATTTTTGCTATTTCAAATGTCTCATCATGTGTTTTTGCTTGTTTAATGAATACTTTTCTTTTCTTTTTAATTCAGATATTAAATTCGCTCGTCCCCTGCCAAATAGATTTTAGATTTAAACATGTATGATTTTGCACTTCAACTTATATTCATATGTAGATTAATTTAATGATAAACTAAAGACAAAATAACTGACACAAATGTGACCCAAAAGAAATACAGGGGCAGCAACATTATACACTGGGCAAGGTAGATTCTATGCTACATGCTTATACAAAGGGAAACCACAGAGGCAGAATATTTATGTGAATAAATGCGTATACCGCATTCGACGTAATAAGCGCCCCGATCTAATAAGCGCCCATGGGGCTATTTGCTAATATATTGGCTAGTGAACAATCCCAATCAGCACCCCTTCCGATTGATGAATGTACACAAGACTTATTCATTTGTGTAAAATACGCACTCATGTGTTATATCACCCTTAATTATGGGCAATTAAATTCTTGAAAAATATATCTGTCGTATGTAAACATTTCAGGCTGTTAGCATAAACCACAAAATTTACGATCTTTCAACTCAAAATAATATTCTAATAAGCGCCCCCTATTTCTAATTTTGAGAGCGCCCTGGGCGCTTATTATGTTGAATACGGTATTCCTTATTTGACAACAAGTCATTAAAGCCTTAATGATATTTAACATAACCCTAAGATAATGATTGTTCTCTTCCTGTCAACATTAACTGATTTCTACATTCAACTGTTTATTACTCAAAATTGTGTATCTTGTGTAAGTGAATAGGCAATATAATCAGAAACCTGTTATCAGGATGAGTTGGTTTTCAAACACAGAGATCCGTGAAAAATGTTGGACAGAGACCATTATACGTAAGGGCAATGTGTTGAATTGGACTTGATCACATGTGTCTAATGGTACTCTCTCTGATTGGGTGCTGCCTAACTTTCTTCTTTCTAACATGTCAGTCACTGGATACAATAGATCATATTTGAAGATATTGATGAATTTCAAAACAATTGTCATACACACTGGTATACCATAATGACATTATAGATGGAAATAAAACCCTTCTACGGAAATTTAATATCATCTAACAGTTCTGGAATAGCTAAATATGCAAACAAAAGAATCGACATGTTTTTACAGACGACTTACTGTACAATAACTTAAATGTCTGAGTAGTGGAAGAAAACAACATTTTAAACATATCTGCCATGTTCGTCATGCTCAAAATCAGATAAAAATTTTGAATGCATTTCTGGTGAATTTATTCCTGGGACCACACAAAAAATGACAGCTTCATAACAATTGTAGGTTATTTAAGAAATGTAAAAATAAAACATCACTGGATTAAAGGATTACATTAAGGTTAAAGTTCATAAATGCGCAAGTTATTGAAATACACAAAACAGAACCTCGTGCAATATTGTCACCATATATTGAATTACATGAGCAGTCTGTGCCTAAAAATGATGGGTCAACTAGTCCGAACAGGATTTTAGTGTTGTCATATTGACTATTATTAATTGGACTTACTACATCGAGCACAATATTACTAGACTTGCGTTTCAAATTTGGGGTCTTTTCAGGAAGAATTGCTCAAGCAAAACATGTTACAGTGGTGCCTCGTTTATACGGACACTTGCATCATGTCAGTATATGTTGACAGTATAAAGAATTAGTACATGCATTATAGTATACTTTAAAGTAACAGACAACAGGCTATCGCTTGCTACTTCAATTCTGAAATGAAAAGACGTTGATACTTCATTGTGTATCAAGTGCAGAGTCTGGTGAGTCCCATTATCAAGTAAAGAGTTAGAATATAACATAGCAGTTGCCTTAATAGTCTATACAGAGCTCCAGAAAAGTTGCGTATCTGCGTGAAATAGGCATCAGAAATGCAGAAATACACAGTAAAATATAATCCAAGCGTATCAAATACGCAACGAACATTACAGATACACTACAAAAATAAAACTTGTGCGTATCATCAAAATATTGCGAAGTAACCCTGCGTATTCGATTAGCAAATCAGCAACTTATTTTGAAATTATAAACGGGCATTCCGTCAACCTTGCCAAACTCCACGATGACAGTTACATCATGATCATTTGCCATCACACTTTCTTGTGGAAGTATCGTGGTATTTTTGAGTCCTATAAAGCTCTCGAACCCACACGACACCAGTTTGCAGGGACTAGATGAATAGTGTTTTTAAATATTTAACTTAAATACCCACATGTGTAAAAACTAGTGGGTAACAGAAATTTGAATACCCAGATAGAATTACTGATACCCAATGATTTTAAAATGCATGGGTAAAATACCCACAACACCAAAAGCTTATCAGGAGCTCTGTCTATAGCAATTTGTTATCTGCAAATATAATAAAAAATATTTATTTAATTGGTTAGGAATTCCACAGAGAGTAGATAAGTACGTAAAACATAATTTTCACAGTATGATTAGAGAAACAAGACAATATATTTAAGATAAGAAATTAAATTTGTCCCCAGTTTTAAGAGGCTTGGGTAAACCCTGTAGTGACCAGGCTCCATGGTCTAGTGCACAACATTTACAATGTAGGTCTAAACTAAACAGGTAGGCACCTTGCACAAACATAACTTGAGAAAGACAGAGACGAGTTCAACAAAAAAATACCACAACAAAGTAGTGCACATTTAGTTCTGTCGTGAGGAACATACTGATTTTACAACCAAAGTTGACACTTTCTAGCAAACTTTTTACAAACATACATAACCTGAAGATACCGTATTAATTGTGTTATGACAAGCATGTGCAGATAGTTGTACGAATCTTGGTTTGTCTCTTACAAACTGATACAAACAGTCTGTATTCATAATAATCGATAAAAATAGCACATTATAATACTAGGGCATAAGATTATTTAAAAAATTGAACTTTTATCTTTGTTTGTTTGTTGTTTAATGCTGTACTAAGCAATATTCGTGCTTTGACAGCTGCCTGTAAACAATGAAATCTGGACCTGACAATCCAGTAATTGACATCATGAGCATCAATCCATCCAAAAGGGATACGATGACATGCATTAACAAAGTCTGTGAGCCTGACCCCTCAATCGCGTTAGTCGCCTCTTATGACAAGGATAGTCACCTCTTAAAGCAAGAATGGTTTGCTGAAGACCTATTCTGACCCTGATCTTCACTGGTAACTTGGTAAGTTTGTATAACTAAACATGTGGCACTTGCTGCCAAGACAATGAATGACAAGAACTACAGTAACAATATTCCCTCTATTTGGGTACAACACAAATTGACTAAAACACTGAGAAATATGCACATTTGCTCTTAGTCCTTATTAAAGTGTGCTGGTACTGTACAGACAAATCTTATTTTGGAATGTATCAGAAATAACAGGAAAATGACAAGGACTAATGCAGGCCAGTAGACAAAATGAAAAGGAAAATATACAATATATAAAACACTGCCAAACAGATCACTTTTTAAAAACTACACTATGTTGTTTTTGTGTGTACAATGACATTATAATTGGGAATTCAATTATACTTACAAAAACAGGATGTTGCCAGCAGTGCACACTACTGTTCATGATAAGGTATTCTCAGTTCTGTCCATTGCTCATAGACAGATGTAGTGTCTGCTACTGTCAACAAAAACATTCAAACATTACACCCTACACTAAACTGTATGAGTTAAATGGAGATACATTCATCAATAAAATGGTATTTTGTCTTCAGACATTCAGTTACCAGCGGATTACAGTTAGTTAGATGCTGTAGGCCTAGTCATAATCTTATAACAACACAATTATTCAGGTATAAATGGATAAATTTGAGTTTGTTGACAGAAGTTGCAAAGAAACAATACAGATGTAGACCAGTGTAATTAACTAACAGTTAGGGAATGTTGATCATGACTTGTTATAAAGTCTATCAGCCTCTCTGCTATCAACAAACATTTACAAAACAATCACTTTCACCAGCACTTTGAGAATACCAGGGTCACGTGATGGTGTTTTGGAGCATTTTCAGTTGTTTGGGACTTCAGAGCTTGAATAAATTTTCTGCCTCAGATTCATACTGCTGAAATGTAAACGAAATACGATATATATATATTATGTAAGCAGTAATAACTAGTAATTACTACCAGTTGGACCAAAAGAAACGAGCGAGTATGAAAAGGAACGTGACCCAATCGTCTTTGGACGCAAGTGATTCACCTTAAAACATGGGCGCTTGATACCAATACAATATACGATAGGTAGTAGGCCATACCTTAGCGGTAAATCACTCTTTCTTTTAGAATAAACGGCATTTATGATGCGTGACTTTGCTTGTGCACGTCAACGTTGTTTCTAGGGACGCAAAGAATGCAAGGCTACCTGAAGAAAACATGCACGACATTACGTTCCCATTTGTGGAAATGGCAGGAATATTGAAGAGTATTTATTGTTGTGAAAACACCCACGTTTGTTGTGCTCTATTTAGAGAACTAACTAGCCTAAACTAGGCCTAAGTTGAGTGGAACAGATGACGTGACCTTACACAAAATGGCGGCGGATGATGATGCATGACGAGGTCATGTGACCAGCTGGTGATGTAATGATCAATGGTTACCGTATAATTTTCTTCATGATAATGTAGATTCTATTTGTAATTATTTAACAACCACAGTATATTTCAAGTGCTACTTCTACATCTAGAAAGATAGCTGGTTACAGGCTGAAGTTGCTCTGCGGTAATCTTTTCATTTTTCTGTTGAGACAGCCCGGCTTGCATATCGTCTATGTAGACTCGTTGACCAATGAAAATCAAAGACATGCTCCTTTGCCGTTAGCTAGTAGTAGCAGTAAATGTTAGTCTCCAGAGACGAAGTGACCGTCTTTGTACCTACTAGTAACAGCTCACAGTTGCTAACAAATCTGTGCTAGAAGTAGGTCATATTTCCTGGATCGGTGACGCTGATCACTGTGTCGGATTAACGAGACTTTTAATGAGTGATTTCAGTAATTCGTTGCAAATTAGGTGTTGGAGTCAGAGTGCGAGACTGTCGGATTGAGGGGCTAAATAGCATTGATTAAATCGGTTCCTATCATTAGTGTCGGATAAAGCTGTTTGTTGGATTAACGAGTGTCGGATTAATGAGATTTGACTGTACTTAACAAGAGCCAAGAATATCACTTTGTTGTTTTTGTAAGACAAAAAAAAAGAACTCTAAACATAACATCACACTTTTGCAAGATGTCGGAGATAAGTGATTGTGAGCAATTCCGAGAAGGATCCAGGCCAAGCTCAGGGAGGATAACTGGATCAATTTATCTAATCTGACACGCAAAAAGAAGTGGACAGTACACACAATGCAGAAGCATCTTGCTACGGATTTATGATTCTGTTTCTTGATGTGTATCTCTTTCCATGTCTTGCTATATCAAATATGCAGATAATTAGAAGTCTGCTGCAAGATACCAGGGCCCGACTGTACTTTCAGTATCATTCAGTATTATAAATATTTCTTTTATTGTCGTTCGTTATATAACTTGCATGAATAATTGAACATGATGTTGACAAATTATGAAAGATGATTATCAAGGCAAATTTTATCATGAGCAAAAATATGGTAGATCTACATATTCTTGAAACACCAAATACATAATTAAGAAATACAATTAGGACAATGACTGTTTCAAATGAGACGCAACAAGCATACTCAACGAGTTATCAACATGCAGAATGTGCAAACATATTTTGAATGAAATATGCCTTACTGTACTTCACTTTGCACATGATTTGGACTGAATCAATTCCAGTATGTTAATACACATATAAATTAGTGTACGGCTACAAATTCCTTGGCGATTTATGAGATCGGACGGGCAAAATTAGCTAAATTAGTATGCCTGATTGCCGCGGGTGGACGGCGACACGTGGGCACAGCACGTGGGCTACAGTAAATCTGTAGACATGGTGAAATGAGATTAACAATGAGATTGAGGATACTATTATGCGATTTAATAAATCAAAACTAAAAACAGTTAGGCAACAATAAGAAGAACATCATAGTGCATAGCCGAACAATATGTATAAAACGCCTTACGCTTGGACTGACGGAGCGCTGCTGGACGAGAAAGGAGAGGTGAAGGTCATGCCCAAGCGGCCCGGATTTGTTTCGAATGATGTTTTTTTTATATTGGCAACTCTTGAAAGAATACGTAACAGTTCATTCCAACTTTACAAAATTTAATTGTATATGAATACATGTTGCTGTTTTTTATGTAGTATTTCTAAACTGTAGCGATGGAATTGCACGTCGATGTTAATATGGTTACAGGCTGCATAGGCTCTGCGATTATGTGCAAGGCGTAGAGACGGAGCACAGCCGATAACAGACAACAACCCAAACGACGTATGTAAGGTGCACTGTGAGTGGCTGCGTGGTGCTTTTTTTAACTGTCATGTTCACCCTCGACGAAAAGGAAAACAGTGATGACAGTTGCGTTGGAATTAATAATAGAGATGGTGGACGCGATTCCGAGCCGATGGTCGCACATGAAAACACGGAGAAACCGTCCACACCAGCGATAGGATGGCTAAGCAATGATTCCACGAATAACGGTATGTCTGTTTGTTTGTTTCTTGTTTAACGCCGCACTCGGCAATATTCCAGCTATATGACGGCGGTCTGTAAATAATCGAGTTTGGACCAAACAATCCAGTGATAGACAGCATAGGCATCGATCCACGCAATTGGGATCGCTGACATTCATCAACCAAGTCAGCGAGCCTGACCACCCGATCCCGTTAGTCGCCTTTTACGACAAGCATAGTCGCCTTTTACTGAAAGCATGGGTTGCTGTAGACCTATTCTACCGCGGATGTTCACGGGCCGAATAATGGTATGACTTGCACGTATTGTTCTGCACAACCTGCACATGTCGCTAATGCAATAATACTGCATCAATAGTTCAATGGTACTTCTGTTATAATAGGCTTGTAGGATATCAGTTGTTATTATGCCTCAAAGTGAGATCAGAGCGAGAGATAGCTTACAGCGGAGGTCACCGAGTTCCAAATAGCAACGTTATAGAACATACTATGGGATGACGTCACAAACAAGAAACTTGACGCCAATGACGTCACATAGCAATAGGATAGATACCAGTCCGTCGTTAGGGTAAAGCGGACTGCTATCAAGTTACAGTGGCCTGCAGATTTCTGTTAACATGCGGACATTTTTATGATAATTGTATTCATTTTAGGTATTATACTTAAAACGTTCACATGTAGTGCATTATATAGTCCCTTGTTACCGTTTATGTTTACATTAAAGCGTTGCTCACGCCACGCCCAATATGACACCGTATACAGCGACTAAAGACAACATAACTTATAATATGATGTTGTCTGTGACTTACAGCAACTACTCCTCCAATACGACTACTATTACTGCTACTACTACTACTACTACGACTACTACTACTGCTGCTACTACTACTACTACTGCTGCTACCCCCACGATAATACTCTACTGCAACTACTTCTACATGTACGACTACTACTACTACTATTACTACTACTACTACTACGACTACTACTACTACTACTACGACTACGACTACTACTACGACTACTACTACTACTACTATTACTACTACTACTACTACTATTGCTGCTGCTACCCCTCCAAAAATACTCTACTGCAACTACTACACTTACTACTACTGCTACTGCTACTACTACTATTACTACTACTACTACTACTGCTGCTACCCCAACGATAATACTCTACTGCGACTACTTCTACATGTACCACTACTACTACTACTACTACTACTACTAGGACTACTACTACTGCTGCTACCCCAACGATACTACTCTACTGCAACTACTTCTACATGTACGACTACTACTACTACTACTGCTACTGCTACTACTACTATTACTACTACTACTACTACTGCTGCTACCCCAACGATAATACTCTACTGCGACTACTTCTACATGTACCACTACTACTACTACTACTACTACTACTAGGACTACTACTACTGCTGCTACCCCAACGATACTACTCTACTGCAACTACTTCTACATGTACGACTACTACTACTACTACTGCTACTGCTACTACTACTATTACTACTACTACTACTACTGCTGCTACCCCAACGATAATACTCTACTGCGACTACTTCTACATGTACCACTACTACTACTACTACTACTACTACTACTACTAGGACTACTACTACTGCTGCTACCCCCACGATAATACTCTACTGCAACTACTTCTACATGTACGACTACTACTACTACTACTACTACTACTACTACTACTACTACTACTGCTGCTACCCCAACGATAATACTCTACTGCAACTACTTCTACCTGTACGACTACTACTACTACTACTACTATTACTACTACTACTACTACTGCTGCTACCCCAACGATAATACTCTACTGCAACTACTTCTACCTGTACGACTACTACTACTACTACTACTACTACTAGGACTACTACTACTGCTGCTACCCCAACGATACTACTCTACTGCAACTACTTCTACATGTACGACTACTACTGCTACTACTACTACTACTACTACTACTAGGACTACTACTACTGCTGCTACCCCAATGATAATACTCTACTGCAACTACTTCTACATGTACCACTACTACTACTACTACTACTACTACTACTGCTGCTACCCCAACGATAATACTCTACTGCAACTACTTCTACCTGTACGACTACTACTACTACTACTACTATTACTACTACTACTACTACTGCTGCTACCCCAACGATAATACTCTACTGCAGCTACAGCACCTACTACTACTACTACTACTACTACTACTATAACTTCTTCTACTGAAGCCACTAGTACTAGTGCTACCATCACTGCTAATACTTTCCTGCAATTGCTGCTGCTACTACTACTACTACTACTACTACTACTACTAGCCACTGCTATTGCCTTTACTAATACTGCTACGTCAGCAACATCACCTTCTACTGTTGCTACTGCTTCCGCTACAGCACCTACTACTACTGTGCTGCTGCTACCACTACTGCTACTACTGCGACTACTACTGCTACCCTAGTGTAACTACAGCAGCTACTACTAATACTAATGTCGCTGCTGCAACTGCAATGACTAATACTCTACTGCTATTGTGGCTACAGCACCAACTACTGCTGCTGCTACTACTACTACTACTACTGTTACTACTACTAGTGCTACCGCTGCTTCTACTTCTACTACCCAAGTGCAGCTTCTGCTACTATCCTACTGCTGCTATTGCTACTACTACAGCCACTACTACTGCTACAGCACTTACTACTACTGCTACTGCTGCTACCACCACTACTCATACTTTCCTTCAGCTACTACTTCAACTACTGCCATGACAAATATTCTCCTGAAGTACCTGCTGCTACTACTACTACTACTACTACTACTACTACTACTCCTGTTACAACATCTACTGATGCAGCTACTACTACTGCTACAACACCTACTATTACTGCTACTGCTGCTAACACAACTACTGATACTCTCCTGTAGCTACTATGGCAAATACTACTACTCCTGCTATTGCTACTACTGTTATGACTCATACGTTACTGCTACTCCTACTCCTACTCCTACTTCTACTAGTACCGCACCTGCTGCTACTACTGTTACTACCACCACTACTAATACCTTCCTGCAACTACTACTAATACTTTTACTACTAGTAGTACGAGTACTACTGTCGCTGCTGCTACTGCTACTACTCTTACTAAAACATCTACTACTACTGCTGCTACTATTATTCTACTGCTGCTACTACTACTACTGCTACAGCAGCTACTACTACAAACACTACCGCAGCTACAACTACTACTCCTAATACTAATACTCTACTGCTGCTACTACTATTGCTACAGCAGCTACTACTGCAGCTACAACTACTACTACTACTGCTACTGCTGCTACCACCACTACTCATACTTCCTGCAACTACTGTGACTAAATGGCCTTTTATAAGTCGAGATATGCTGAATTGAGAAGTGGGCTGTGTGCAGTTCTCCCAAAAGCACAGAATTAAGTAGTAACTTCTGATTAAAATGACAATTTCCACAAAATGATCATTAAATATCTTTCTTTTGAAGAGGTGAAATGATTGGTGGCAAACCACACTTCGTGCCAAAAAGGCCTGTTTTCAGTAGTGAGTGAGTTGGGTTTAATGCCGCTTTTAACAGTATGACAGTTATATCACAGCGTGTCAGTTTATTGTGGGAGGAAAGCCTGAAGTGATGCAGGTCTCGGACGTTTACCACTTTGGTGAGACCCACAAGCACGTGTATGGTGCTGACAAACTCAGAAACATAATCAGGGCGACCCGGGATTCGAGCCCACAATGAAGGGACGCAACTCTGCACACCTTTTTTAGTAAAGATGTGCTGAACTGAGAGGTGGGCTGTGTGCGCTTCACCAAAAACAACAGCAATAAATGGTATGTTTTGTTGGGAAAAGATCTTTAGTTTTGTTTAAAATGAGAATGTCCTGTAAAACAAATGTATTGTCATCGTTTTCAAAATGTGAATTGGATAGTGCAAAACCCTGTTTGCTGCCAAAGTTGACTTTTTTCAGTAAAGGTGTGCAGAATTGAGAGGTGGGCTGTGTGGGGTTCTAAAAAAACAAAACATTAACTTGTAACATCTGTTGGGGAAAAGTCCTTCACTCTTGTTTAAGATGCGAATTTCCTGAAAATATTATTCATAACTTTTGTTATCAAGACATAGGGTAATAGTGCCAAACCATATTGCGTGCCAAAATTGTCTATTTTGAGCCAAGATGTGCCGAACTGAGAGGTGGCTGTGCTGTTCTCCCATCAGCATCCAGTGGAGATGGACACCCCACCCACCACTGACATCAGAATCCAGTGGAGATGGACACCCCTCCAACCAGTGGCATGAGCTTCCAGTGGAGATGGACACCCCTGCCACCAGTGACATCAGCATCCAGTGGAGATGGACACCCCGCCCACCACTGACATCAGCATCCAGTGGAGATGGACACCCCACCCACCACTGACATCAGCATCCAGTGGAGATGGACACCCCACCCACCAGTGACATCAGCATCCAGTGGAGATGGACGCCCCACCCACCAGTGACATCAGCATCCAGTGGAGATGGACACC